TTTTTAACATGATCAATGCATTTTCTCCAAATGTTCTCCATTTTCATCTGAAACTGCCTTCAAAAACAAATTTCGCACATCAGGTAAATTAAATGTTGTATTGTTTCGAAATACATAACCTATTAATTTTTACCAGATCAGTTCAATAGAATTTAAGTCTGCGTGGTAAGTAGGCAATCTAAGAATTATAATTCCTTTTTCTCGGAGAATCTCGTCTATAATATATTTTTTGAATTTATTTTTTTGTTGCATTGCTATTACAGTTAATTCTGCCTTTAAGGATTTAGGAGCACTGATAATATTTTTAGAATGAAGCCATTTTAAAATATCTTTTTTTTTTTCATCTTGTATTAGATAGTGACTCGTGACTTCTTTAATCGAGTGTGATAGGATGCATTATCCAAACAATAACGGAGTTAGCTGGATTTTTTTTATAATGTTCTGAAACCAATTTTTAATATTTTTTAATCCACAAGAGAATCCTTCTACAAATGCTTGTTTCTTAGTTTTGATTGTGGTTTTTTGCCAAATTTTTGTTACTACATGTCCAGCATTGACCCATGTTTCATCTAAATAATATACCTGTTTATGTCGATTCCTTGCGTCCGCTATTTTCCCTAAACATGTTATATGTTTTGCAGATATGATATATTTGGAAGAGTGGGGCTATTTTCTATTTTTGTGTTTACTTTTTTTAAGTGCAGGTATTTCATTTAGAAAGAAAAAGAATGTATCATTTGCCTTAATACATTCTTTACCCAAGTTTTAATAAAGGTCTTGTTTCTTTCTATGAGACTTTTCCAATAACTTTATATTCTTTAATAATGTTATACACTGTCCGCTTAGATACTCCAGTAAAGGTCTCACATTTAGTGGGTGTTTAATTCATTAAATTTCCAAGATTAATAAACACATTAAGTACAATATTTTTTTCTTCTAATGATAATGCTTTATGTCCACTAGGTCTTTTACGCGTATTTGTGTTTGCAATATTTTCTAATGCACTAGTTATTCTTATATAACTGTAAAATTATAATGGGTGTTCAATTAAAGTATTTTAGTTAAATACCGCCGAAAATATAGTTTATAACAAAAAGTTTCAGACAAAAGTTTTAATAGTTTTTTGTGGAAACATTTTCGCTCAATTCATTTTTTATAGCTGACCATAATATAGCCATATCGAGGAAGACTTTTTTTTTTCAAATTTGAACCCCATTTTTTACCTATTCTTAAAGTTCATAAAAAATCAAGAAATTTTTAAAGGAAACATTTTTTTATTGGACTTTTACTTATTGAGTAACACCTATTTGAAAATTTTGCTGCGCGAAAAAAAAATGGCCATATTATGGTTAGCTATAAAAAAAGATTTTACCCAAAATGTTTTCCCCAAAAAACTATGAAACTTTCGTCTAAAACGTTTTATTTTTATATAAAATGCGGTATTTAACTGTAACACTTTAATTTGAACACCCGGTATAATAATACACAAATCCAAATCAATTAAAATACATACGATACAGCTATGAATAAATAAAATCTGACTTATCTGTCAAAAGAAAAGTTTTATTACAGTAAAACTATGAAAACAAGATTAAATCTAAACGAAAACTTTTATTAGACCGATCAGATGTATTAAAATTTTCATATTAACTACAAATAAGCATTTCTTTCTTCTCTAGATTATAGCTAGTTATTATTTATAAGATACAGAAATGTTTGCTAGGGTGTTTGTTTCGTCATATGTCTTTGATATTTTTGTTAATTATTGTTAATTTTAATGTTTTATGTAAAAAACCCTTTGTCCAATTACCCCTCCTTTTAGGCTTAACCAATATTTTTGTTACCTGTTTATTTAATAGCTCATCTTCTAAACGTATCATAAAATTAAATGTCAGTTATACATGACCTATAAATAACATTAATTATTTAAATCAAATCCGATGAAGATTTTGCATTTCTTTGTTCCTATATGAATTATACTACAATAGTGTAAATGAATAACTTGCTAATATTAATAAAGCCTGATTTAAAAAGGAAGTAATATTATTATAATGTATCTACTTTAGAATACATAACATAATCATCACTTTTCTGGGCCTAACATTCAGTAGGTATATGTATTAACAATTTAGAAAATCAATACTTAAATAATAATATTTCTTAATAACAAATACTAATCTTACATTATAGATACAAAATAATTATATAATATCTACACCTAAAAGTTTAAACTTTTATTTCTCGATTTAAATGACCAAGTTGCATTTTAATAAATCGCAAACCAATACATTGAGGTCTTTCAAACATCACCGGATATGTTAATGGATCGCTGGTACGTAGCCAGACCTTTAAATTCAATGGTTGACATGGCGTTTCGCGTACAAGACAAGTCACCAGCAGATGCTAAAATATTTAAAAGAACTGACAATTGCACGCATAGTAGATAGACGAGTGCCGCGCGCGGATAGCCTAAGCATACACTGACAATAAATCTAAACTGACTCACGTGAGGCAGCTACAAACAAGGTATGAAGGAGAGATAAAAATTTTGAGGACAAGTACTATATAGGGTATTGGCTACTGCTTATAATGCGGCATTGGAAAGCACTCACCATCATAAATCTATGCACAAGAATCGAGATGCGCCTTACATTTAGACACTGGCGCTCGTTTGGTTAAAGGCCAGTTCCCACGGTTTGCGTGATTTTGATTTCCAATCACCGAAAAAATAGTCTAATCAGTACATACCATTACTAAATTTTTAAATCTAAACAAAAAAGGTAGTCCAACTGTTCAACGGTTTAAAGGTTCACTGAGATCGAAATAACACAAGGAATTAATTTCACATTTTAATATTTATGGTGACCAGTTCCAAGTAATTAGCCATCATCAAGAATAAAATAAAACTCTACTAAATAAGGTTTTGTCGATAACCCTAGTTTGTAAGGAAAAAATTACACATATCTGCCATTTATATTTACTTTTATATATTTGTCTTACATGAGACATGCTAACGAAACCTAGTCTATTGATTAAATATTCCAGTATCAATACACCTTCCCGTTATTCGACTATTTGGCATTACTAATCGGGACTTTTGAATCTAATAATTTTTCAAACAACCTACATATTTTTATTTATCAGAAACCTAATTACAATTGTTGTGTTGGCTACATTAATTTACCCCGTCTTATTGCTGCCATAAAAATTGTAATTATATTTTTTGCTGAGATCTATAATTTTTTATCAAATTTTCATAATAGAAGTCAAATAAAATTATAAACACGAATACTCACAATCAAGCGTAAAAACAAACTGACATTTATTAATGTGTAACACTCAGGATAAGAAACATAATGACAGTAAAATATTATAATCTATGAGGGGTACAGGGGTAAAAGGGGCTCATCGCATCTTTGGCCAAAAGAGCGATATATTCCGGATAGATAGTATTTTTCATTATATTATCACCTCTTAGCTTCCAAACTAGATAAAACGGTCTGGTTAATGAGATATCTGCACTTAAAAAAAAACCTATACACGGGAACAACGAGCTCATTCTAAACACGTGTACAATGCGCGCGTTTTTGCCTGTTTGATTTGGGTGGCGATTGCCATTATTCGTAGTATTATTGCATCAGCCGTTAAGAACGCGTCTCTAGTAGTGTCAGTTTGTATATTTTTGAGTTTTCATTATAGAAGGTGATGATATTAGCAGTGATGGAGAGCTAAATATAAGTAGTGTGATGGAGGCTAGAAGTAAGAAAAGAAAATCTTATGGCAGAATAAGGGACGTTAAAAAGAAAATGAGGGTCCAAAGTCATGAAATGGGTCCAGACTGTAATTGTTTGAAAAAATGTTTTGATGTTGTGCCCTATGACATAAGAAATAGTGTATTAAAGCAATTTAATATGTTAGGTTTGACTGATGCTCAAAATTTATATCTCTGTGGATTAATAGCAGTACTTCCTGTTCAACGTAAGACTTTAAAAGAAGTCGCTAAACACTATGGTGCATCCTATAAGTATAGGATTCGGGCTCTTGTAAGAGAGAACACAAAGGAATTTAATGTGTGCCGTAAAGCATTTATTGCTATTCATGGCATATCAAAAAAGAAAGTGGAAATCTTGGTATCAAGCTTAAAGGAAACAGGATATGATCCGCAGGATAAACGAGGTAAACACCCAAACCATCTTAATAAACTTTCAGTAGAAACACTAAGTCTGGTCAGGCAACATATTAATTCCTTTAAAGGCCGTGGAAGTCATTATAGCCTCAAGGACTCTACAAAAATATACCTTTCCGAGGAATTAAATGTCAAAAAAATGCATACAATGTTTAAGGAGCTGCACCCTAACAATAAAATATCCTATGAATCGTATAGACAGGTTTTTTGTCGTGACTTCAATTTTTCTTTTGGATATCCGCGAACAGAGACTTGTAGCGCTTGTGATGAGTTTACAGTAAAGATTAAAAACATAGAATCTGAAAAACTGGAAAATACGGAAAACCTACAAATATCTATGGAAATAAAAAGATTAACTACAGAAAATACATTACATAAGAAAAAAGCAGAAATGTTTTATAGTCGGAAGAAAATAGCTAAGAAAAACAGTAGAAAAAAATCCAACACAGAGGCAATTTGTATGGACTTCGCCAAGAATCTGCAGGTTCCAAATATACCAACAAATGATACTTACTACAAGAAACAGCTATCAGTATATGCATTTAACGTGCATGTTTTGTCTACTTCTGGAAGTTATTTTTATGTTTATTCAGAATCCGAAGGGAAAAGGGGTTCCGATGATGTGTGCTCACTGCTTCATAACTTCATATATAGCCATCTTGATCCAGAAGTGAAGCATCTGAAAATATTTTGTGACTCTTGCAGTGGTCAACAAAAGAATTTCACTTTTTTTCGTTTTCTGCACAACCTAGTTAACAATGAGAAAAGGTTAGAATCCGTTGTTGTCACATTTCCTATTCGAGGACACTCATATATGGAATGTGATAAGAATTTTGGTCTTGTTAACCAAAAATCAAGAGCAGAAGTTCCCGAAGACTGGTTGCAAATATTGGAGGATGCCCGCCATTCGCCAACTCCATTCAACATTATCAATGTGAATCACACATTATTCCGTAGTTGGACAAAATTTCTCTACAATAGTTACCCTAAAAAGTCGCCATGCCCATCTAGGACAATAAGAGAAATCAACATACAGAGAAGAGCTCTTCTACAATATCGCACCACATACAATGGGGCTTGGGAGTCAGCTTCATTGCAAGGAAAACGCCGCAAATCCTCAAGGCTACCTGTTTGTCACCTCAAGGATTACGAATTTAGGCTACCTGAGTATAGCTGTGAAGGTATTTTAAATTATTCATTATTACCACACTGTATTTCTCTTATTATTTTTTATATTTATTTTAGGACAGCTTCCAATATCTGCTAAGAAGTTTCGCGATATTCAGCATTTGAAAAAGTTTTGCAGCCGAGCAGCGCAAGAATTTTTTGCAAATTTGCCGCTCCAATAAAGAAGATTTAGACGTTAAGATAATTTTTCTATATTTAAAAATTTCCTTTCTTTAGAATATTATTTTATTGTCTTCCTAACTAAGGACGATCGCTGTTAGTAGTACAGTGAAAGAACGAGCTCATTTCAATGAAATGAACCTCTTTTTCCCTTGTAGTTTTTGTAGTTGTAAAAGTTTTTAATTTTTCTTTGTTCAGAGAAATATAAACTGTCTCAAAAAATATTTACCGTAGTTTGTTTGTTATTTATTAACCTTCAGAAAAATTTCGAAAACTTGAAAAAAGCAACGTAGCGTTCGCAAACTAGAATTTCAACCTTAAACACGCTCTGATGGAAAAACATAAAAATGCTCATGAGCCCCTTTTACCCCTGTACCCTTCATATGATACAATAGTAAAAAAAAATTAACATGTTTGTGAAACTGACTTAGATTTAATTTTTTATTATTAATATTAGTAGATAATTTATTCTATATATTTTATTCGAATTTATTAGATTCTGATACTTTTAATCTGGAAATGGGTACTAAAAGATTCTCCGCCCTTCTCGTATTGTGGCTATGTATATCGCAATATTTGGTCCTCATGGAAAATATCCATATGAATCATAGATACAGTTTCAAGAATGTTAACATAGTGAAGAAATTTTGTACTTTTTAAAAAGCTCTATACAATCGACTCTGTTTCTGGCAGCACTAATGATGGACACAGCAGCCATTTGTAAGGTTAACACTTTGTGGGGGCTCTATTGGCTCTACTTAATCGTGTAATTCCATAAAAAATGTGACTATATACTATTGCAATGTACTATTGCACAAACCATTATTACTGCTTTTTGAATATCGTATTTATTTTAATACAAATATTTGAGTGAAAATCCTTGAACACATTCTCTTTATAAAGTAATCAACCTATGGGTTATATGTAAGGGCAGTCTCAAAGATAATACCTAATAATTTACCTGGTTTAAACTTTGCGATACTTTAATCAGAATTTAATCAGTATTTTCTGTTTTACTGTTACTAAGGTTCAATTTATTTACTGTAAACCAATCCATCGCCAAATTCAAATCCGCTGTACTTCTTTACCTTTAATCTGCAAAGTAGAGTCGTCTGCGTACACATAACAACTTGACGCCTCCCGTTAACTGATCTGGGGAAATCGTTACTATAGAAAATAAACAATAATGGGCCCAATATCGATCCCTGAGGTAGTCAACTCTTTACTATTACTAAAGTGGAGTAAAAGTTCCGGTAGCTCACGTATTGTCTCCTATTTTTCGAATAGAACCTGAACAAGTTAAGTTCCTTATTTCTGGATCTATATACATAACTCTAATTTGCTACATAAAATATCTATGTTTACGCAATCGTACATTTTTGTCAGATTGCACATTACATAATGACTTCGTCGTCAAAAAATTCGACTTCAAGAATATTTTTTAAAGCTAGTATGGTTAACTTTTCTTTTCTAAATTCAAATTGACATGAAGATAAAACTTGTTTGTTTTCTAAATAAGAAGATACTTTTTCTTCCAATAAATGTTCTAATACTTTTGGGTTATTATGAGTCTATAGTTATCAACCTGTTAAGCATCTCCTTTTTTGAGATAACTTAAATTATTCGCAAATAATACAGGGTGGTCAGTGGTGTAACTAGTGAGTTAAGGGTTGCTTTGAGCATGATGGCATTTGTTGTAGTAGTAGAGACGGTTTATTTTTTAAAGATAAAATAGCCGACCTTACGTCACTCCCTAAGACTGCAGTCATGAAAAAGATGATGAGGATCTTTAAAGGTTATTTATATAAGATATTGTACTCATACTTGTATCTTCCAAATCGGCCAAAATTGATTTATTTAACATTTCCGAATTAAAGGAAGTTTAATTTTGATTTTTATTTTTTGTAATTTGCTCTTGGTTCACTATATGGCTTTATTTTTGTCTTCTGTAGAAGTTATAAATTCTTCATAATATTCCATTTTGTCTATCCTTAAACATTTCCGATACTTAAGAAAGGAAATAATTCCAAACCCGAATGTAACCGAGATGTAAAATACATCAAACATATCTCAAAGCCGTTTTTATTTTGACTATGACTAATACCCCATCAGATATTTTGCTTACTAGTGAGAAAGTCATTCTTGTACCGATTTCATTCTTATTAGGACTCTTTAGCAAGAATTTATATTTCATGCTAAAGAGAATAACCAGTGTAACATTCGTGACAGCAGTGGGATCCAAAATAAGCTTTCATGGTAAATACTAGATCCACTAAGTACGAAAGAGATATGGATATTTCAGGTCCCTTAGCACAGTTTTTGAAGATGGTAAAGAAGAAGGAAAGGCGAGAAGAGGAAAAAGAAAGTCACAGGAAGGAAGAAGAGGAAAAAAGGAATAGTGAGAAAAGGAAAGGCAAAAAGAGGAAAGGGAGAGGCGAGAAGAGAAGAGGGTAAGGCGCAGAAAAGCAGAGTTGGAAATTATAAATGGCAAAATTCAGGCAAGAGGTAGGTCAGCCTAACAGTCGAATAGATCTCTTAGTACAAAAACAGGATAATTTAAAAACTAATTTTAAACAACAAAGAAACTGAAAACACTATCTTGTTCCCATCTATAACTGAACCAATGCAACAACCAGGAAGTCTAAGGACCAATTGTAACTATTTATAAGACTTTAACTACTGTTATTAGTGTAATATTAAGTGATTAAGGCAGCACTGTCACCAGTCAAAGGGTCCTGGAGTCCAGAAGAAACATCCATTCACCAGTGGCAAATAAAAATATTAATAAAAAAATTAAATTAAAAGAACAAAAATTATCCTTTAATAGCATAGTCGCGCCGTTCTTGGCAACTAGTTTTGGACTTCTCAAATTCTCAAAATATTTTTTTGGTTTAGAAGGGGAGAGGAGAGATTATTAAAATTATTAAAACATTAACAAATGTATATTTAAAATAAGTACAAAGTTGACTAATAGTTTCAAGAATTTAATCACTTTACACATATACGATAATATATGTTATGTTGAGTAGTATTACGATTGATAAACCCTTTTTTACAACCTGCTGGATAGGGTCTATAATGTGTTAAAGGTATTGGGTTGCCTTTTGGTTCCGGCTAGCTCAAATGAACCACTAACAACTAAAATCTGTCGGAGAGTAGGGATGGGTTGGATTGAATTCTTGTAGTTGAGAGCAAATATATTTTTTAATAAACAAACTATATAAATTCTAATGTTGTACGTCCGAGTGGTACCCCTTGGCGTTTACAAGTAAGTTTACACACATATTTTTTTTTATTGTATTTTCTAAGCAACAGTAGTTATTTATCATTCTTTAGTATATTTAAAACTGGTAACTAATTCTATATATATATATTTTTCAGCAGACTATATACAACCCTACAGGAGGGTACCCCAAAACCATATAGAGGCTTGAAATTATAGTTATATAAGGATGGAACGAGCTTACTTGGTAATTTTGTTGGAGACAGTGGATTTCAACCTTTTCTCTCTGTGTGTGAGCCCTAGGAATGTATGTAGCAGCTATGTAGGGATATACATCTACCGCAGCTCTACCTATGTTCTTCAGATGCCCCAGTACTGTGAGTGGTAAGCAAGAAAGCAGGCGAAAGAAAGCAAGAAGCAAGGTGAGGAAATAATCATATATATCTACCATGCAGGATGAAGATGTGTACATAAATATGTATACTAGTAACCAAAAGAAGGCCTACAATAAGGAAATGAAAGATATAAAGCAAATGGTATGCGGAGATGATTCTACTTACCCAAAGTTCTCGTGTGGCCTTAAGGAGGTTTTAGTCCTAGATCTGAATCCCAAAAAAAGGTAATCTAACCTGTGTTAATAATGATCAGGATCTAATAAGTTTCTCTTTGTATTTTAGCTTATGAAAATCCGAAATTATTCGTTGTTCTTCAGAACCATGTGCTCCAAAAGAAAGCTAAGATAAAAGAGGTTCAGTTCAAAGTCCAAACTGGTAAGGTCAGAAAGCCCTCCACAGAGTCACAGAACACTTTGTTTTATTTCAAAGAATGGTGGATAAGTTGGCAATAATTGGCAAAAAGAAGAGAAGGCACTTCATAAAATTAGAAATATGTCAATATGTCAATCAGTCAAATATCAATTTATAATCAAAGATAAACAAACTATTTATAGGTTATCAAAATAAATTATCAAAACAAAATGAGCCTAGTGTTTTATAATTGTTTTGGAACCAGGTAAAAGTTTTTAAACATAAAAATAATAAATAGGATCAACATAGTCTTATTTAGCTAAATAAACCTTTAGTTTTGATTTTTAAAAGGTAAACAAACGATCATATTGTGTTTCGAGTTAATTGTTTTCTGAATTAAATCATAAACGTGAACTTTAAAACATTATAATTATTGAGTTCTCTTTAATATTAACTAATTTAATTATTATTTCATATAAAATACTTTACCAAATTTAAAACCGTAACAGTAGAATAATAGAAAAATTACGAGTGGCTCTTGAGGATAACACACAAGAAAAATTTTCCGACCCCAAAATGCACTTATACATTCAGGTCATTCAAAAAAATATATTTTTCGGACTAGTAACGATGTACGTTTTCATATATTCGATGGGCTTGTGTGGGAAAATCTGGTAAAATCTTGATTTTTCCTTAGAAGATTACGCCCTTATTTTAACCATTTAGTCATTTGAAACATTAAAGCCTTTGGTTTTCCGAAGCCTAGTTCTATTAATTAATTAATTATATAGTGAAAACGGCTTGCGTGGAAATATGGGCAACGAATAACCTTCCATTTTTGTTGGGGAAAATTGAATTTTTCATGTATTATCCCCAGGGGCCATTCGTAAATTGACATTTATTCTGCATAAAATCGATGTACTTTTCAATCCTCTTCGAGGCTTGTATGCGAAAATGGGCACCTAAACCTGTCACTATCTGACGATCTAATATAAATATTTCCTCTGCCTCTTTTGGGTAGTCCAAACCTTTT